CAGAATTAACTCATAGTTGACCCTTCATCAGAGGTTATAAAGAAAGAGGAAGGATTGCCCACCATTCTCCCATGGAATCAACAGTGAATTCGAACTATCAGAGAGGCTAAGCCTTTGGTTTAACAGTGCAACTCCTTGTGGACTGCTCCACCCTTAACTCCCTGTAAGAAGACAAATACTACAAAAATACTAAAGCTCATACTGAAAGAACATTACATAAAAGGAAAAGTTAAAGCTACAAGAAAGATAGAAGAGCAATAGAAATGAAAAGTATTATATCTACACAAACAGAAACAAGATTCTTTTCCTTTTTGTCTTAATTTCTTTCAAATATGGATTGTTTGTTGCTGTTGTGTACCATCAACTCAAAACCAACCCATACCTGACCCTCGAGTGGATTTTCAGAGATAGTTAATCATACCGGAGGTGACTGCCCATCCTTCTCATGTGGAACAGCTGGTGGATTTGAACCACATGCCTCCAGGATTGCAGCCATAATATCTTGCTACTAGGCCACCAGTGCCCCCTATAATATACTATTAGCACACATTGAAGATCATACAAAAATGGTTAGAACAGTACTGTGGTAAAGAACTGTGAGAAGTTCAAGTGAAGTTTAGAAAGGTCATTGCACTTTCTACAAAGATGGAGCCGAAAGCTAAGAAGGAAGGCCCTGGGCCTGTCCCTCCCAAAACTGAAGTCAAAGCAAAGGCATTAAAGGTCAAGAAGGCAGTCCTGAAGGGCGTCCACAGCCCAAAAAAAAAAAAAAAAATAGATCTGCACATTACCCACCTTCCAGCGGCCTAAGACGCTGAGACTCCGAAGGCAGCCAAACTACCCCCGGAAGAGTGCCCCCAGGAGAAACAAGCTTGACTACTATGCCATCATCAAATTTCCCCTGACCACTGAGTCAGCTATGAAGAAGATAGAAGATAACAACACACTTGTGTTCATTGTGGATGTCAAGGCCAACAAGCACCAAATTAAACAAGCTGTAAAGAAGCTCTATGACATTGATGTGGCTAAGGTCAACACTTTGATTAGTCCTGATGGAGAGAAGAAGGCCTATGTTCGACTTGCTCCTGATTATGATGCTTTGGATGTTGCCAACAAAATTGGGATCATCTAAACTGAGTCCAGCGGGCTAATTCTAAATTTTTCTCATCAAAAAAAAAAAGAAAAGGTCATTGCACCAGGGATATCATTGCTGATATCAAACAATTGAAAAAAGAGAATGCTGGGAAAATGTCTATTTGTATTTTTTTGACTATGCAAAGGCATTTGACTGTAAAGATCATAATAAATTATGGCTAACATTGAAAAGAATAGGAATCTCAGAACACTTAATTCTGCTTATACAAAATCTATTTTAGTCTAAGTGGTTGTCCAAACAGAGCAAGGAAATACATGGTTTAAAATCAGGAAAGGTGTGCATCAAAGATGTATCCTTTCAACACACCTATTCAATCTGTATGCTGAGTAAATTATTTGAGATGTGCCCTATCTCCATACCTTTTCAACCTGTACGCAGAGCAGATTTTCCGAGAGGCTGGGCTCTATGAGAAGTGTGGCGTCAGGATTGGTGGAAGATCTATTAACAATCTGCGTTATGCAGATGACACAATCCTGCTTGCTGAAACTGAGGAGGACCTCATGCACTTACTACAGAGGGTCAAGGACTGCAGCCTTCAGTATGAACTGAGGCTCAATGTCAAGAAGACAAAGATTCTCACCACTGGGCCAATTGGCAGCATCAGGATGGATGGTGAAGAGATTGAGATTGTTCACAGCTTCAGTTTGCTCAGCTCCACGGTCAACACTCTTGGCACCAGCAGCCAGGAAATCAAAAAATGTATTGCGATGGGAAAGTCTGCTGTTAGGGACCTCTCTAAAGTACTCAGGTGTCTCTCTGGAGACTAAGGTGCGTCTGATACAGGCCATGGTTTTTGCAATCACTTGTTATGCATCAGAAAGTTGGACAATGGCTAGGGAGGATAGAAGAATTGATGTCTTTGAGCTGTGGTGCTGGAGAAGAGTATTGAATGTACCATGGACTGCCAAGAAAACAAACAGTTTCATCCTGGAGAGGGTTAAACCAGGGTACTCCTTGGAAGCAAGGATTCTGGGGCTTCGTCTGACATACTTTGGACATGTTGTAAGGAGGGACCGGTCCTTGGAGAAAGACATCATGCTTGGGAGAGTGGAGGGACAGCACAGGAGGGGAAGACCCTCTATGAGGTAGATTAATTCAGTGACTGGGGTAATTGGGATGGGTGTCTCAGAGGCAGTGCGACTGGCACAGAATAGAGCAGAGTTTAGGGCTGCTGTATGTAGGGTCGCTATGAGTTGCAAATGACTTGATGGCACATAACAACAACAACAGACCCTATGAAATGCTCAGGTCTTTCATTCATAGGGTCACTATGAGTCGTCTATGACTCAACGGCACCAAACAACAACAACAACAAACAGACCCTATGAAGAAGACTGTGTGATTAGAGAGGAAGATTTATCTGTTATGCAGATGACAAACTTTGCTTGCTGTAAGTGAGGAAGACTTTAAATGCTTGCTACATAATATCAAAGCCTATAGCCTTCAACATGGATTGAATCTCAATATCAAGATGGAGAAAAGATTGAAGTTGTCAATGATTTAATCATACTTGGATCCACAATCAACACCCTTGGTGTCAGCAGTCAGGAGATCAGATGTATTGCATTGGGAAAATCTGCTGTCAGGGACTTCTCCAAAATACTGAGCAATGATGTCTGTTTGAAGACTAAGGTGTGCTTCATTCAAGTCATGATCTTTTCTATCACTTGCTATGCCTCTTACAGCTTGACAATGAATATGAATGATATAAGAATAACTGATGTCTTTGAGCTATGGCTTTAGAGAAAGAGTAATGAATATTCCATGGACTGCTAAAAAACAAACACGTCTGTCTTGAAGAAAGAAAGTGCAGCCAGTGTTCATTGGAGGCAAAGATGTCAAAGCTTCATTACATAAGCCTTAGTCATGTTGCTAAGAGAGGCTATTCCTTAGTTAGAGACATTATGCTTAGAAAGGTAGAGGGTCAAAGAGAGGAAGCCCTTCGACAAGATGGATTGACACAGTAGCTGCAGCAAAGGGTTCAAGCAAGTCTGAGATGATGAGGATGGCACAGAATCTGACAGAGTTCAGATGTGTTGTTCATGTGGTCGCTATGAGTGGCACCCAAGTCCACAACACCCAAAAACAACTTACTGTTCCATACCAACTATTCAGTATATAGCAGTTGCTTATTACAGTGCTTCACCTACAGTACTGCCAACATCAACAACACTTAGTACAAAGTATTTTTTAACTAATGGAGCAAAAGTGTTAGAAATAACCTGAGCTCTAGAAACTGTATGCCTGGTTTTTTAATACTGTTTCCACAAGTCAATAGGTAGGTGACCCGAATTAAATTGTATTTAATCTCTTCTTGCTTTCGTTTTCTCGTTTTGTACAGCAGGAATAAGCTACATCTTTATAAAGTTGCTGTAAAGATGAGTTGAATATTTGTTTAAAACACCAGGCTCATCATGGCATCAGCTCTTATTAGCGCAGTATTAGTTCAAAGCCGTGCTAGCTCTGGCGAGGAATGAACAAGAGTCAAAATCCAGTCCCTATCCAGAAGCACATACAAAAATAATGCACAAGTCAAAGCACAATGAATATAGAGACAAGGACAAACAACAAAAGGACATCCAAGGAAATAATGTTAATTCTTAAAACTGACACAAGAATCCAAGAAGAGTAAAAAAACGATGCCTTTAAAGTGCAGAGAACAGTCCTGGATATTCCACGGACTGGCAAATGAACAAGTCAGTCTCAGAGGATGTGCAACCAGGGTGATCCTGAGAGACAAGGGTAGTGAAACCTCATCTCACATACTTTTGAGCACATTGTCAGGAGGTGTACTTGTTTTGTACGATGGATTCAGAACCAACCTATGGCTGATGCTCCAGCGGGTTTTCAGAAGCAGTAAATCACATGGGAGCTACTGCCCATCTCTCTTCTGCGGAGAACCTGGTAAACTTGAACTGCGTACATTTGCGTTGTCAGTGCAACTCCTTACCACTGGGCCACCAGAGCTCCTTTTGGAAGGCTTAGTCCTTGGGAGGAGAAAAGAAAAAAAAAAAAAGACACCAAACTAGGAAAGGATGAGAATCAGAGAAAGAGGAAGACTCACAAAGATGGATTGACACAGTGACTGTAACAATAGGCTTGCGTATATTAAAAGATCCTGAAGATGGCGCAGGATAGGATCGCAGCTGCTCCTTAACTAGTATTTGAGCCCTGAGTTCAACTGCTGAGAATGGCTTAAATGAAGCCTTATAGGATTTTTTAAAACACTAAAGATTAAGATTGTTCCTTGTACCAAGGAGCAAAAAAACCTGAACGTAATGGTGTGAGCCGAGGATGCCAAAGCAACTTCCATGTACAGAGGAAACTGCAGTTAATTAGTCAAGTAAATTGACACGAAATGGAAGAGAAATTTTCATGATGCGGGCAATAACAATATTGTAGAAAGGGGGGAAAGAAAAAAGTGGCCGTTAAGAAAGCAAGTACAACTACGTGCAATTGGCTCCTCTTGTTGTAAACACCTCTGAGCCGTAGCCTCAGGTTCCAAATGAGGTAAAACCTAGCAGAAGTACCGGAAGTAAGAGATCAGGAACAAGATTAACTCCCACGGCGACCAAGAGGGCGGGCACCTTCTCGTAACTTCCGCTTCCGCTGCCCGCCCTCTTAAACCTCCTTTACACTCTACACGGAGGAGGAGGGGTAGCGCGTGACCCCCATGTGATGGAGGTTCCAGAACTGAGAGTCCCTTCAAGGGACTCCAGTGGTAAAAAGCGATTCGAAAAGGTGGAACTTAACTTGAAAATTGGATAATGATTGGGTTTGATAGGACAAGGGCGGGGCTAAATGCTCCAAATTCCCCAATCAGCATCTGTATTAGACCAGGCTGGAGGAAAAGGGGTTAAAAATGGTTCTGTAGTCACGTGCCGCGGGATCTAATGGGAGGAGCAGTTGCTGGGGGCCGCTTGGCGCTTCCTGTTTCCGGTTCCCAGAGTGGGGCTCACCGAGGCGCCTAGGGGAACGCTGGCCTCTCACACGAGATCGGGGACTGGGGTCTGCGGCAGCCAGCTCGCTGGCCCCAATTCCCAGCCCCAGACGGAAATTCGCCGGGGGATTCTGAGCGGTGGTTCCTTCCTTTGCCTGTGGCACGTGAGTATGTGGGGGCGTGGAAGAGTAGGAGCGTTGCACACCTCGGAGTCATTGACAGGCACCGGGCTCAGCAGTCTGTCTTGATTGTGGTTCTCCGCGAAGTTTTGGCCAAGGAGAAGGGAGGCGGAGAGGTGAAGGCGAGGAATCAAAGAAGTTCCAAAGGGGCCTCCAAGACCAAGAAGATATTTTCAGAAATATTTTCTGAAGTCTGGGATTGGAAGATCCCCTGCTATGAAGTCTGTCTGAGGTGTTATTGATTTACTCATTGAAGGAAGTTTTGTCTGACATCGTAGAGGAAGAACATTCAGAGAGGGTATATCTGTAAGCAGTGGGGAAATATGAAAAGTAGACGGAGGGAGAAGGTCCAGAGCCCTCAGAGGAGGTTTGAAGGGAAGGCGGGGTGGGGGCAAGGAGGAGGGCAGAGCGGAGAAGAGCAATGAGGGAGGGAATATTTTTTCTTCCTTCCCTGTACGAAGATAAGAGAACTACTGTTAGTAATTCTTTCTAGATAAAAACGTTGGCTCATTTTAGCTAATTAAGGTAGCTCTTCAGAAATAAAAATGGGAAAAGAGGGCTACTGCATCGGAAAGGAGCCTACCAAAAAAAAAAAGGCAGAATCGTAAATGGAAAATGGCCATGACTAGTTTGAAAGAAGAAGGTTCCTAAAGCGATCATTGGCCATCCCGGTAAAGAATTTTTTTGCGTTACCAAATAGGTGAATGGTTGTAGAAAACGAAAACTGAAAGTTTTTAAAGATCATGATTTTAAGAGTCTAGATTTCAAAAGAATCTAAACTCTGTATTGTACACAATACTAAATTGTTTCGAGTGGAGTACTCAGTTTTTGCATTGTTACATCCATATATTCCTGAAGTTTTCCAGCAAATAGTTTAATGAAGTGAACAGTCCAAGTTGACCCAGTAACTTCACACATATTTTGAAGTATGAAACTTTGGCCAAGTAATTTAACCTTTGTAAATTAGTTTCCTAATCTATAAAATGGAGGAAATAATACAATTCTGATTGTTTTCAGGCTTAGCATGCATGATTTAGGTAAAGCAGTTAGAAAGTGCAACTCAATCAAGACTATATATCATGGGCCTCTGTGTATGTAACCAACTTAAAACCAAACCTGTTGCTTTTGAGTTATTCCAACTCATACCCTCAATTTAGCACAGAGTAGAACTGCCTCATAGGATTTCCAAGTCTATCTTTCAAGACTGGCACATCATTTTCCCTTGGTTCCACACTACTGATCTTACAGTTAGTAGCGAAGCACTTTAAACATTTTGTCTCCAAGACCCTTGTGTTCATATACATATTTAAAAGAACATCTGTGCCATACATTCATTTTCAGTTGGTGGGAACCTTACATCATGTTTCCAAGGCTGTAATTCTTCATAAGAAGAGAAGGCCTCTTTTTCTTGCAGAGCATCTGGTGGATACAAACTGCAAATCTTTTGGTTAGCAGCCCACCATTTAGCCGACTATGCCACCAGAGTCCTTGCAGGCTCGAGGGTGCACTCACTTGCATACGTTCTTTCTCTGATTGTTGGTGGTGGTGTGCTGTCCCATTGGGGCTGACTCACCTTACCTCCCACAGATATTTAGAGGCTATAAGTCACACAGCATAAGATTGTCCATCTTTCTCCCTCAGAACAGCTGATGAATTCAAACTGCATGGCTTTGGATTGGCAGCTCAACTCCTTACCCACTAGTCAACCAGACACCTGTAAATGTGTGTGCATGTATTTTGTTGTGGACTGTCAAGTTGGGACCAACTCATAACTGACTCTCCAGCATATTTTCAGAGGCATATGTTATATATACCTCCAAACCTTATGGGAGAAAGAAAGTAATTACGTTTCTTATCCTGCATTTTTTTTTAACCAATAAGCAAATGGAAGCTATTTCAGTTTAACGATTGCTGTGGTATAAGTCAGTAGAGAGTAGTACTAGTGACCCAAAGGCAGTGCCTCTCTGGTGATTTTAATTTACCAGTGGCACTGAAGAGGAAAGATGGGCAATCAGTCACCTCTCATGTAGTTTTCAACCTCCCAAAAAGCTTCTGAAGGGACAGCAATAAGTATGTTCTGACTCAACAACAGTGAATTTGAGTTTTAACTAACTTTTTAAGTCTTTCATCACTTCCCTGTTTTTTGAGTTTCTTCTATTTTTGGGAAGAGAAATCATCAACTCTTAACAGATAAGGAACTGACTCTGTGGCTGGAGAAACAACTCTGTATAATGATGATCCCTCCAGAAAACTGCACCTGGAAAAAAAAAATCTTGAGAATCCAGTGTCAAAATCTTAATCAGTTCCTGAAAGAATATAAGGAACTTGACATGACAAATCTGTGTAACAAAAGAAAGCTATTTGTCTTAAGAGAATCAGCTGATTGAGTTACGTGTTGAGTGGTGCGTTAACATATGAAATTGGGAATTCTTAATTCCACTTCCTAGTCAACTGTGTGAGGAACCAGTTCCTCTCTATCTCTTTAAGTCAAACAGAAAGCAGTTTTGACTGCCTATGTACTCTCATCTACAAATTTCTGTGGAAGAGAATTTATCTTTAATACTCATTTAGCTCCGCCTATAAAAAAGTTTAGTCACTGGAAAAAGGTACAGGACTTAAGTATTCAGATCAGAGTTTAGACATGTAATCTTTATTAATTTATTTTAAGTGAAAGAATGTTGGAAGAATCAAATCTTTGAACCAGGAAAAATGAATAAGTTTTTATTTTTTTATGAAATTTTAAGCCCTGGGTCACATACACATTGTAATGACTTAGTCCTTTGCAAGTTGCATGGCTAATGCAAAGGCTACACTTTTTTAGCAGTTGAAATCCTACAGAAGATCCAAGGGAGAAAGATGGGCAGTCTCCTCCCCTGACATTAATAGTATTGGAAGCCCAGTGAAGGGTCAGCTATAAGTCTGAACTTGTATCTGCAGCCAAGACGAGGAGGAATACTACTAGCTCAAAGATCTGAGGTCCCAACCCCCTCATTGTTGCCATGGATGAAAGGTCTGGTGAACCACTTCTGTACAGACCACAGCCGGGAAAACCCTACTGAACAGTTCTACTCTGCAACACATGGAGTCACCCTAAGTTCGAATTGATTCAACCCCAACAGATTGGGAGGGTGGGGTGATAAATAATGGCCTGTGGGATCGTTAGTGGGTATCAGAGTGAAGTCTTGTGCAAGGATAAAGCAGCTGTTCTAGATATGAAGATGTATTGAAGAAAAGAAAACAAGTTTGATAAATAGGAAGCCTTGTGTTTCCATTCCTAGACTGACAGAAGCCAAAAAGTTTATTAGTTTCACAAAATAGTAAAGTGGCTTGGGAATCCTAAAAGTTGTCAGCAATTAGGAACAAAAAATGGCAGCTATACTTAATGGATAGAAATCTTCTTGTGACTTTAACGAACCTGAGATGATCAGATTTGGCAGACTTCTTTAAACCATTTTGATTTAATGAATGATGAAAGTTATATGTGAAAATAATTCTTAGAGAATGCAAGCCATTAAAGTAGGTTAAGTTTTCAGTTCTGTGTATGTATGTATTTGGCATTCTTGTGATTTATTGTTTCTCTTGGATACTCCTGAGTATCATTTATGAAAGTACCATTCCAAATAGTCAGGTTTCTTTCTCTAGTTATATCTTGCTGAATTGATACATTATGCTTATCTCTTCTTTTAAGTTGTAAGCAAGTTTTTGGTTTTGTTTTTGTGGTTTTTTGTTTTGTTTTTAGTAAAGACCACTGGTTTATGCTGTATTTATGAACTAGTATTCAATAAACTTTGAATTGTAAAATAATTTTGCCACTCAGCAATAGAGCAAGAGTATCTCCACTCAGGATATCATCATTAATACTTTTTCTTCTCTCCTCTCCTCCAAAGTATGTTCTAAAAGAACTCACTTATGAATTAGACTGAAAGGTTTGAGTTTCATGATCTGTGTTCTTGACACAGATAATGAAAATGTACTACTTATAAAGGAGGGGACTATTAATACATATTAATAATACATTTGCCAAAGAATCTTACAAATTTAAAATACCATATATGTTCATATGTTGGAGCTTTTAATTTTTTTTACTGGTATTTATATAATTATTCATATTCCTTGTGTTTCATTCATGTACATAGTGGAAAATTTTGTGTATGTTCCATGTTCATTTGTTTTATCTCTCTCCTTTTTCTTCTAACATTCTTTTTTAAAAGGATGCTGCCCTTCAATAGCTGCTGGAAGACGGCACTGGTACTACTGCTTCTGCAAGCTGCAGCTGTGAAAGAATCCTTGCAGACAGAAGAAAAATGCGACTTGGTAGGAGACACGGGTAAAGAGTCAGAAAGGGAGTTAGCTGTGTTGAAGAAACTGAAACCACTTTTTAATAAAAGGTAAAATAAGAACCTTAAAGGGCTTGAGATAAAGAGTTTTGCCCCCCATCTTACTGATTTTACTACAAATATTGCTATATACGGAATATATGTACAGTAATTTTCTCTAGGAGACAGGTCTAATCTGCTAAGCATTAGCAATGTTGGTCTTATTGACAATGAGATCTTAATCTTTTATAACAAAGTACAGTCTCAGAATTTTTTAGTTTCTTTCTCTAATTGCTCTATGACCGACCCTCCCAGTCAGACTCACAGCTGAGCCTCCAGTGGGTTTTCAGTGGCTGTAAATATATGGAAGGAAATTGCCTATTTTTCTCCCATGGAGCAACAGGCTGATTTTATTTACTTACCTTTGAGTTAGCAGTGCAGCTCTACATACTAGGCTACCAGAGCTCCCTAAAGTTTTGAGTTGCTATGTTTAATTATCATATACAGAAGAGTAGCTGCGTGTGTGTGTGTGTGCGCGCGCGCGTGCGCGCACCATTGAATCAAATCTGACAGGTGCAGGAGGAAATTACCCGTCCTCCAGCAAAGCATCAGGTGGATCCGAACTGCACATCTTTGGGATTGCAGCACAGCTTATTGCCCCTAAGCCACCAGAGTTCCCAGAATAGCTGCTTCTAAGATTGGATCTAAGCTTATAGAAGTTCAAGCTTATTTGATAGCTATATATAATAAGACATTGAAAATAGATATATTTTTATATGGATATAAAATCATCATAACTGTCAAGAATCTTCAGATCTGTTAATCTGAAAACCAGTTGCTGACAAACTGACCCTGACTCTTGACAACTCCATATGTTGGAAGTAGAGCTGTGCTTCATAGGATAGTTTAGTTTTAAGGAGTTGCACTGCCAGCCCAAAAGCAGAGTTTTAACTCACCACCTGCTCAACAGGACAAAGATGGGCTGTCTCCTCTCAAGTGGTTTATAGCTACTGAAAGCCCACTGGATAATCAGCTAGGAGTCAGTTCTCACTCAGTGATTCATAACACGACCACATTTCTCACACATAAATTACCATATTTTTCTACCAACGCACCTGAGTGAGGGGATCATTAAGCAAAGTATCCATTAACATAGATGATTATTCATAGAGAAATAGTAGCTTAGCCCAGTTGAATATTCTAAAATATCTGCCTTGAATAGTATATTTTAATCAGCAATCATGACAGTCGTCATGGCCATGGACATCTTATAATTCTGCAAATACTATTTAATATTACATTTAATTACGATGTTAACTAAGCTAACCAAGTACTATTGTTCTTTTGGTTAAGAAAGGCTGCCCTTCCTGAAGCTAATAGCCAATAATGCTGCCTTCTTTTTTCTCATGTTTCCTTACAGCTTTGAGAGCACTGTGGGCCAGGGCCCAGACACATACATATATGTGTTCAGGGTGTGCCAAGAAGCTAGCAATCGCACAACTGGAGCGGGCCTGGTGCAGATCAACAAAAGTAATAAAAAGGAGAAAGTGATAGGGAGACTCAATGAGACTCACATCTTCAATGGAAGTAAGATTCTTCATGTTGATTAATCCCACCCAAGCCAGTCCTGTATATTGACTTTTCCAGTCCTGTCACCTAGGTGTGATTCACCACTTGAGACAATGAATCACAGAATGTCTTACTTCCACAGCTTCTGACCCAGGGCTCTTGACATTTTATGTGTTCGTTGCTTTTTGTTTTGTTTTTATGTGTTCGTTTTAAAGTTAGTGAATGCAACTCATTGTATCAAACCAACTCATTTCTGTCCCTCAAGCAAGTTTCCAGGACTGTAAATTACGTAGCAGGAGATTTCCCATCTTTCGTCTGTGGATCCACTGATGGATTGACACTTGTCAGAGAGGTGTCAAAGACACATTGGATTAGCAATTCAACTCCCTGTGGACTATACCACTAGAACTCCCTGAAGTTATATAAAAAGAATCTAGTCAGGTACTTTCCAAATTCAGTTATATTTTGAATCCATCATTTTTGGTAAGCTGTTAAGTGTACAAAATTTTTCTAATAACTTGAGCTGTGATGATTATAGTTCTCAAGTGCCATAAAATCCTATTTCTAGAAAGGATTATGTTCAATACCTCTAATTTAATTTCTTACTTTAAACAGAAAATTATGACATTATCTGGTGAGAATGTGTGGCCCATCAGTGTAATGAAAAGAGTTTGGTGTGAAGACCCTGCATTCTTGACCAAGCTAATGTTACTAGATCTGTGGCTTTGGAAAATCAAGTCACAGTTTTGATTTTTTTTCATACTCAAAATTTGACGGCTTTATTCACTTCACATGATTATTTAGAGAATTGAGGTGCTTTGCAAAAGTACTTTGGTACTTTGAGCACCGTAAATAGTGAATAAATGTAATCCAGTCATAAGAATTATCCACTTTGAATTTATGTATGGCTAATTTTAAATCTTAGTAATTGTATAGGGAGCTCTGGTGGCCTAGTGGCAAGAAGCAGCACTGCGATCCTGAAGGTATGTGGTTCAAGGCCACCAGCTGCTCTGCAAGAAAAGGATGGCAGTCTCCTCCTGTGCGATTAACTGTAGACTTGGTAGAGGGTCAGCTGCGGGTCATTTCCAACTCTGCAGTACACAACAAGTGCTCGTATGGACTCTGTTTTGCGATTAGCATGTGTTCAGAAAATGTGAATTAATATGAAAGGTTTGTTGTTTGTTGTTAGGTGCCATCGAGTCACTTGCGACTTATAGTGACTCTGTGTACAATAGCACTGAAACCTGCTCTGTCCTGTTCCACCTTTATTGATTCTGACACACCTAACCTCATTACCTCACTCATCCATCCATCTCATCGAGGGTCATTCTCTCCTGCGCTGTGAGGGTCATTCTCTCCTGCGCTGTCCCTCCTCCCTTCCGAGCATAACGACCCTCCCCCCAAGGACTGGTCTCTCCTTGCACCATGTCCAAAGTATGTCAGACGAAGCTTCATAATCCTCGCCTTCAAGGAGCAGGCTGGTTTCACCCTCTTGAGGATGAACCTGTTTGTTCTCCCAGCAGTCCATGACTCTTCTCCGGCACCACTTATCACCTCTCTGCCTTTACTGTGGAACATTACTGTGATTTTTTTTTCCACTGTGATTTGTGGTCCACTCAACAGCACCTAACAGCAACATCTGACTTAGTTGTCTTAAACACAGGATCCTAAAACTGTTGAAAGTAAGTTTTAATTTGACATTTCTAATCATAGTGTTGTTCCAAAGCTTTAGTTGCTTAGTGACAATAAGCTGCTCTGCAATCCCGACCATACATGGTTCAAGGCCACCAGCCCCTCATGGGAAAAGGATGGGCAGTCTCCTCCTGTATGATTAACAACCTCTGAGAACATGTCAGAGAGTCAGCTATGGGTTGGTTCCAACTCAGTGGTACACAACAACTGATAAAGGTTGTTTTCATTAATACCAGTGTAACTAAACTTTTCAGTTCCACTCTGCTGTCTGGCCAGATCTGCCTTTGCCGTCCCTCCCTTCTTTCCTCCTTCTTCCCTTCAGCTCCATTTCTCTTGTCCTTTTTCAGGTAATTGGATCATGCTGATCTATAAAGGAGGTGATGAATATGACAACCACTGTGGCAAGGAGCAGCGTCGTGCAGTGGTGATGATCTCCTGCAGTCGACACGCCCTAGCGGTAAGGCATCTAAGAGAGATAAGACGACCTATCTGAGGTGGGAGAAAAACTTCCAGAGGGAACAAGATGGACACAGGAAACTTGGGAGTATAATTTTCCCGTGTCACAAACCCCCATCATACGTAGGAACCAAGACACTTCATAATTGCTGGATTCTGTCCTCTCATCATTAGGATAATTTTAACCCTGTATTTGAAGAACGAGGCAAAGTTCAAGATTGTTTCTACCTCTTTGAGATGGATAGCAGCCTGGCCTGTTCCCCAGAGGTTTCCCACCTCAGTGTGGGTTCTATCTTACTTGTCACGTGAGTACCTTGTTAACTCTCATCAATCCAGACTTTTTAAAATCAATAAGTATTTGTTGATAACTTGGGTGTGAAGTGTCTTTTTACTGTAATTAAGGGGGAAAAAACTTTGTAAAAATCTTAAGATTCTGGACTATGTAAGTTAAAAATAAAGTGGTTTTTTTCCTCCCTTAGTAAATACTTGTATTTCAGGATGCTTTCCCCTCCCCTTAATTTTTAAGTAGAGGTATCTTTTCTTCCTCTACAGGTTTGTATCACTGGTAGCTGTCTATATAATTGGAGGCTTTTTATATCAGCGATTGGTGGTAGGAGCCAAAGGAATGGAGCAGTTTCCCCACTTATCCTTCTGGCAGGATCTTGGCAACCTAGTAGCTGTAAGTAGTAAGACAGTAGATAAGGCCGTAGCTTGTTTACAAGGTTGTGTGAAGAACTAACCCATGTTTCCTAGGACGTAGTTTTGGTACATGAAGCTTCTGGTGCTAAACCATAAAAGTCCTAGGCAAACCAAAACAATTACCTTAGCACAAAGTAACAAATGGCTTAACAACTTCATTTTTGGCCTTACCTAAAATTTTACTAGATCAACATAGTGGATTATAGGAAGATCTCTTTAAGTCCTGTTGAGCTCTTAAAGGGGTCTAAGAGGAAGGAATGGTGGAACAATGGTTCAGTTCTTGGCTGCTAAGCAAAAGGGCAGTGGTTTGAACTGAAAAATAGATCTGAGAGCAAAAAACCCAACTTGGCTGATTTCCTCCTATAAAAATGTGCTGTGTACTAAATGAGATGGATCATCACAGTGACTGCAGCACTGGGCTGAAGTATGTCAGATGAGGATGGTACAGGATAGGACAGATCAGGCCTTGTTCATAGGGTCACTATGAGTCACTCAGTGGTACCTCACAATCCAGTTGATACTTAGTAACCCCAAAAGACATATTAACTGCCTTACTGAATTTTTTAAGCTCTGGTTTTTAAGGAAGATTGTTAAATCTTTTCTCACAAGGAATTAACTGGTGGGTTCAATAGCTTATCCTCTGTCCTACTGCAAGATTAGTCCCTATATAGTGTTGTTAGGGGTCAGTCAGCTCAGTAGTCCTCAGCAAGATGAAAGGGAGATACACTCCATTGCTTTTTTTCCCCCCCAAATTGAATTAGTCTAATTCTTTTGAGCTTTATTTCTTACCCCTGAAGAAAACCAGTTGTTGGTATATTCTTCAGATTAGTTATAGCTTCCTTTACTTCAGAGTTGGATGTTCTAAATGACTTCTTTTTTTTTTAATAGGATGGTTGTGACTTTGTGTGTCGTTCTAAACCCCGTAATGTGCCTGCTGCATATCGTGGTGTGGGGGATGACCAGCTTGGAGAAGAGTCAGAAGAAAGGGATGATCATTTATTACCAATGTGATTGCACTTCAGATGCCCTGCCTTTCTTCAGTCCCCCAAACCAAAGCATACTCGGCCAGATTTCTGAAGTGTCTCCACTCAGCTTTCATTGAACCCTTTATACTGCTTTTGCTTTTGTTTGCTTTATATATATTTGAATCTTCTCACTAGAACTCCCTCCCCCTTTGTTCCCTATCATGTTTTCTTTTAAAGGTACAATTGTAGGATAGAGATAATAGGGCCATTGACACAGGGTACTAGAGCATCCCTTGGTTCTGTCAGAAGGTACAGGTAAAACAGTGGTAACATGCAAGTGTGTCAGGCTCCCTTACCTTTTAAAATGCTTTTTAGCATGTTTATAAGACACTTGATTTAATGAAGAAAAAGCAGACACACTTTGGTTGTTTTCGTGCTATTAACTCTACCCTAAGCTCCACAAGAAATCTAGATGGAATTTCTTGCTACTTGGGACTACTTCACAGTAGTCCAGTTGTTAAGTACTGTTCTTTGGTCTGAACTAGAGGGGCCTTAAGCTTGCTTCTCCCACTGCCTATTATATATCATTCAGTTGGGATGACCTATAGCTGACCCTCCAAGGGATTTTCCGAGGCAGTTAATCACGGGAGGAGACTGCCCATCTTTCTCGTGCAGAGCAGCTAGTAGATTCAAACCATGTACTTTGGGTATGAAGCATGGCTCCCTCCCACCTTGACTAGGATGGGGAAAATGTGAATGTTTCAGTTGCCGGATTACAGAGTTACATTTGATGGTATTGGGGTGACTTTAATAACTTGAATTGGACCCTAGTTTGCAGTATTGTCAGTTTATGCCCTTATCAATTGAAGCCCAGTAGAGATCCACTCAGAAAGGGAAATGAAACTGCCTGGGGTTCCAGAAAAGGAACATCTATTTACTTTTTTCTTTGCATTTTTGTAGTAAAAGCTGGCAAAGCTTTTATTCTTTTAGGTTGCCCTCTACCAGTATTTCTACACATTTTGCACTTTTCTTTCCAGGCTTGTAATTTTTCTTTTTTATCCCAATTATCTGGAAAGAGAATGGAAGTGAATGTGAGGCATCTAGGACTCAACTGTTCTCTAATCTGTCTGAGTGCCATACATATATTCTTTCTGCTGGCTCAGGGAAGTGGTGTGTTGTCCACATTTCTGTGTTCCAGGTTTTTAATCTTAGGATGTTTCCATCTGTTTAGACCACTTGCCCAGAAGTGTGGTTGAAACTTCTGTTAAGCAACCCCTGAGACACTGAACAGTAGTACAGTGGCTGCAGAGACAAACAAAAAAAAATATGGTTCAAGTGACAAGGGTCTCTTTTTCTAGGCTTTAGAGAAGAAAATGAAGTTATTTCATTTTTGGACTTTACTATATAGGAATGATTTTTCTTTTTTAAACAGGGAAAATGATGTTATAAAAAGCAACATTTTTGTTTGTTTGCATTCCTTCCCCCACACCCTGTTGGTTTAAAATGAAAGGGGAAAAAAATTAAAATTACATTTTGTAAAAAAAAAAAAATAATTTAAAGATAAACAGAATTACCTTGGCCTGCTTATTTGTATAAAAAAGGGTAGCAATACTATAATAGAGTAAGACAACTGAGACCAATTTTCATCCCTTTACTGAGGAAGAAAAAAAAAATAATTGAGTATTTCTGTTTTACAAGGAATGGGTGCCTTAGTCAGGTCCTTATTATATTCCTGCCCTTAGCCTCACACACTCCTGTCATATAAAGCTATAAGACAGATCAGAGTTGGAACTAAAAGGAAAGGGCCAGGGACACAGACAAATTGGATACGAGTGGGGAATGCAGAAAGAACAGCCGCCACATGGGTGCCAGTCATACACTTTTAGTCCCTGCAGCAAATCAGAAGTTGCCAACCAAGTCACTGGCTGATGATCCTGCCACAGATGCAGGTGAAAATGTTTAATACCAAGGTAGACAGTGACAAAAAGTAAACTCTGGGCCACAGCTACAGTAGGGCAATCCAGAGTGAAGAAGGAGGGTACCAGATTTTGCCACTTGTATCACACAAGCTAGAAAACCCTATCCCTCCCCTTGAGGAGGTAAACCTACATCCCACACATTTCCTTGCCTTAACATATATATATTCCTCTTGGATAATTAAGACCTTGGCTAGATAACCACTCCAGGATAAGGCTGCTTGGCCCTGATTCTCAAGATGACCGGTTTTATGAAGATAGACTCAGGTCAGTAAGAATGGTGAGAACTATAAAGATTTTTAAAGATCAAGTTGAACCAAAGAAAATGTCAAACTGCCACAATAGCACCAGCAAACGGCTCTTGGTACTCCTCTTCCCTGTCTCAGTAATCCCCGCTACAGATTTGTGACACTGGGATGGGGCAACTCTTTCTTCCCTACAAAGTCTCTGCTGATACCAGGTTGTATGACCTGGATTATTAAAGAGTATCTGTCTGAGGCTGGTTTGTGCAAGCAGCACATTAGGACTCCTTGAGAACATTTATCTTGGCGCAAATCTTGAGAGCAGGACCCAGTTTGATGTTCATGGCACTCATGAGATGTTCTTCTTTAAGTAATAAAAGGGCCTGTCCATCAATTTCCTGGGAACGAAACTCTTCTGCAATCTCTTGGCAACCTAAAAGAAAATGTTAGGAATGTATGTGTTAAACTGACAGTGTGAAAAAGTAAGGGGAGGGGAGTGAAAAGAGGAATAAATATGCCTGTTATGTACCATTGAGTGAGAACCAACTCATAGCTAACTGACAGATTTTCAGAGGCTGTAGATAGCATAGGAGGCTGCCCATCTTTGTATCAGGGAGCGGCTGGTGGAGTCCAATCAAATGCCTTTAGGTTACCAGTGCAACGCCTTACCCCCAAGCCCACCAGAGCTCCCTAAGGAAGAACTCAATTGCCCTAAAATCAGCAATATAAAGGCCTGAGATGGCAAGTGAGATGAAATGAGGGCACTATAAAAAAAATTTGCAAAGACAAATCCATATAAATTAACTTAATCTAAGTGGCCTGTGAGGAAGTAATGCCAAAGTACTATTCCCCACAACCCCCCTTGACAAAGGTTTTTTAAAGTCCTAGAATTTAGACAATTATCAAGACAGGATTCTTTTCTGGGAAAGACTATACTTTATCAAGAACAGGTTAGAAACTATTGCCATCCAATTGGGCAAATGGTCCCAATCACCTCCACTGAAAAAGTCTCTATATCAGGTATCACAGTTAAGTTTTGTTAGGAAACATAGGTGAATAATAAAAGATGTCTGCGTAACTGCTGCCATGGTAGAGGATGTCAACCTAGGGAAAAAATTAAAACCAGGCAGTGAACAAATAAGTAAACACTAAGAGAAGAATAAGCCTTTATACTGCCATAGCACTTCAAAGTCAGTTAGTTCCCTAACAGTGGCCTATATGGGGTGGCCTAAAGAAATCATGTAAGTAAGCATAGACATGTCCTGGGTCTGCTGGAGAGGCCATCAGTACCTTGTAGAGAAGCAATAAACTCATACACCTCCTCTACACTCCATCGACTAGGATTACTGGAGAGGAACACGGGGTTTATGCCTTGTAGTTCTGGTGTTGGAGGTGCTGTATTGGGGTTCCCCAGGTCACGTTCTCCATGCCCAGCTCTCACTGATAAAGGCCCGGGAGATGTAGGAGACAGTGCTTCATCGTAACTAGAATTATCTGAACCCCGGCTAGAGTCCTCTTGACCCTACAGAGAAAATTTCCAAAAACAAGAAAAGAACTAAATCCACAAAAAGAAGTATTAACTCAGAAATCCCACTCTTTTATCCACCTTGGGTTAGTTAATACTTGCCATAGAGGGGAAAGTACAACAATCTGTACCTCACTTGTAAATGCCCAAGGACCTTTCAAGTATAACTATCATTCTTGATTCTCCCCTTAACTAATGTTACTAACAGATGATCTAATTAACTCAAATATAGTGTAAAGATTAAAGAATACATGAATCAGTCAATGTCAAGAGAAAAAGGAAGTCAAAATGTCTTGCCATTTGAAGTAATACAAGCTCTGTCAAACGAGTTCTGGTCTCACACCTTGCACCTGGTGGGCAAAGGTACTGCCCTGTAAAGAAGGTAGGTAAAAGGTCCAGAAGCTCACCCGATGGCGCTTGCCCTGTATCTTGGCTCGGGCGATGTCTGAGGAGCTGCGGCGAGGACCACGCCTGCGAACACGAGCGTAGTTGGCTTCTTGAAACTCCTTCATTTTTTTCCTCTTCAATCTGAATTGGTGACTACAGCTCACATTATACCTATAGATAAGAATGTGTGTATTTAACATAGATACGCTCATTCGTTGCCTTGAAGAACCAACTCAGAGTTGACCCCTAAGTGTGTTTTTAAAGGCAGTAAATTGCATGGGAAGATACTGCCTTTTTCCAGCAGAGCAGCTTGTGGATTTGAACCACCTGCCTTTAGTTTGGCAATTCAACAGCTTACCCTCAATGACAGGTATACTTTATATAGACATATATAGAGGCTCAAAAAGGTATTATAAACTACCCAACTAATCAGCCTGAAATGTAATTTGTTATTTTAAAATAACTTAAGTGCTGGTCCTTAAACAAAGGAGACATAAAATATCCATTAGTGGTGCCTGTAATTAATACCTCTTAGCACAAGTCATGGAGCAAAACCTCTTAGAGCCACGAAACTGCTCCGCAGGGGCATACTTTCCACAGTACTCGCACTTCAGGAGATTTGCCTTCATATCTAGTTCTGAAAAACAACAAAAAAGCATAGCTGGAGAGTCACCGTCAGTTTCTACTACTCTTCAGATCATCAACAGGCCTAGCGCTAAGTAACTACTAAGCGATATAGTGAGGCAGTTTCCCCCAAATAAGTAAACAGCCTAAATTGAAATACCTAAAATTTCAGTCCATAATCTAGGCTGGGAAGGGACAGGGAGGATTATAGAGCAAATGAAACTGGCCACTAATACTTGATAATACAGTGCTTAGAACACGGGTTTATGACACTAATATAAAAGTTCAAAATCCAAAACCATGAATATTTATCCTTCAAAAACATTGTTCTTATTTTCTGTGGCATTGAGCAGGAACTGACTCACAGCTGACTTTCGAGTAGACTTTCAAAGACTGTAAATTACACAGGAGACTGCCCATCTTTCTCGTGAGGAGCAGCTGGTGGATTTGAACCAAGGCCTTTGGGCTGGCAGTGCAACCCTTACTACTAGTAGTTCCAGAAAATTATAAAATAGACTGTTTCCATTATAAATGTTTCTTGGATCTGAATTCATACTCCCAGGGCCAAATATACTTCATTTTTGAGTGGGAATGAGGAAGTGATTTTTATTGCTGTTGCTGGATGCCTATGAGCTTGAACCCTCTCAACAACAGATCTGACAATCCTGTGCAATCCTCATGATCTGATATGCTCGTGACCACTGTTACAGTCACTGTGTCAATCCATCTTACTGAGGGTCTTTCTCTTTCTCTGACCTTTGCCAGCATGGTATCTTTTCCCAGGGACCTCATGGTGGACCCTCCTGACAATATGCCTAAAGTATGTGAGATGAAGTTTCAACCAGCCATGCCTCTTAACGAGCACACTGGTTGAAGTGCTTTAATAAAGACCAAAAGACACATGATCTCTCTCTCCCAACAGAGATTCCCCAAAACAAGGAGGGAAATGTAATAGAAGTCTGTAATAAAGTTAATTGACCTAGACTTGATAAAATTCCAATAAATTTTGTATGAGTCTATATACTCTGATACTATAATATAGTTTCTGTATATAGAAAAGGAGCACTGGTAGTGAAGGGGTTAAGTACATGGCTGCTATGCGAAATGCTGGTGGTCTGAACCATCATCAGGAGAAAAATATAGCAGTCATAGAGATTCATAAAGATTACTGCACTGTAAACTCTATGGTGCAGGGGCAGCTCTATTCTGTCCTATAGTCACTATGAGTCAAGAATTATCTTAGTAGTAACAGAAGGAGAAGAAATATGTAGATCAAACAGATTTTTAAATAGTTACCATTTTACACCAAGTCCCCGAACACAACTCCACGAGCCTCCTACCCAAGATGAGTTTCAAAATACTCACCAGCAGATGGGCTGTCCCCTCCCAAGGGACCTGACTGATTTTCATTCAGCCCTGCTGTGAGACCAGTCTGTAGTGGCTTCTCAGACTCTTTCAGTAACTGAGAACAGCCCACCTGTTGCAGAAAAATTAATCAGTTAATTTCCTTTCAGTCTACATAAGCTCTGTCCAATATTGCTCATCAGAATACCTTTGCCTCTATCTGAGCTCATAATGACTGTTTGATTAAGAGAAAATCACTTTCAATATGGCAATAAAGCATCTAACTGGCTTTTTTTTTTTTTCGGGTCAGCCATTCAGTGGAATTACCAGAATTGGTATCATCCAATGCAGTACCTCACAGTGTCATTCCCCCTATGGATCTCCCCTTGTCTGAATGAGTAATAACTGTGATCATTTTAACCATCATATAATGTGAGATAGTTGTAAACTGCTTAGACTTATTTCTTAGATCATACTGAACAAACAAAACTGTTCAAATAGTGGGACCTAGGAAAGTGTCACTTGTCTACCAAAATGTTCTTCAGTATAAAGCAGTCTCTTTGGTCTAACTACATATATAGCTTTAAAGATTAGTTCAAACATTTCTCAACATTTTTCTGATTCACACCTTTTCTTTTCCTTATTTGCAAATACCAAATAGCTCTGTGCTTGTTTTCAATGGGGTTCTGAAGGCTAGCAGATCAGATAACTACTTTAAAGTGCCCCAAAGTGCCCCCCAAACCCCTCACCGGGAAAGGTTCTGCTCCTTCCTGGATAACAAAGCCTTCAATGATGTGAGTGAGAATCTGAGGCTTCACAATGGCCTGTGGGGGTTTTGAGTCACTCATTTGTCTGGAAACCATGGCTAGCGTAGGTGGTGGTGCTGATGGGGTGGAGGTCAATGTAACTAGTTCATTGCTTGGGGTATTAGCATTCACACCAGCTACTGGTTCAGCTTTGTCTGGAAAACAAACACAGATTAAGGCAGAAATGAATGAGATAATTAATCAGGAAGAGCTTCCATAAGACATCCTCAACCTTGATTATTCACTCTGGAGTACTTAAGTTTTGGAACTGCTCATTTTTAACTGATTTATATTTGTCTCTGGTTCATGCAAAATTCTCTAGCTCTGTGTACTTCAAGAGCATTTTACTTCAAAAGTTAGCTACTAACCGCCAAGATTGCTCTTCTCCTCCATGGACTTTGGGCTCTCTGCTACAGGAGATGCCTTGGCAGAAAGCATTGAATTCAATGCTGAGACATCTTCTCTCTCTTCTTCACATTCAGCCTTGCGTTTGACAGCCAGTGTCTGGGGTTTGCCCTACATGGTGCATAGGAAAGAGGAAGAAACCACGGTTTCTAAGTGCAAGATAAAACAGAATGGCCACAATTGCTTCCATACTTGAATACCAGCTTATTACCAGATTACCCAACATTTATATTTTTCCTAATATACTTAAATTCCAGTCATTTCCAAAATACAATCTCTACATATTAACAACAATAACAAAAAGAATCATTTGATCTTGACTTCAAGACTCTGATTTCCTTACAGACCAATCAAGAACTATTCTAAGGATTCGTTTAGTCAAGACCATCTTGAATTCAGCAGCAAATTTAGTATTATTACATTAAAGTGTATACATTAATGTGTTAAATCTGTCCTTTTCTCACAAAAGCAGATACCAATATCCTAACCTCTGACATTTTAATTCCCTACTAATTATGCTGTTTCCACTAAATCCCAAACTCACTCTCCCAGTGAATTTCTTTGAAATCATCAGAGCCCACTCACCGGCAGGTGCACAGACTGCATGTAGAAGGCAGCAGGAACCTGGGCTACAACAGGTGAAGAGGTTGTAGCCCCACCCTTTACAACATGTGCTGTCCCCTGCACAGGGGCAAGGGTCATCCCAGGGGCTAGCGTAGGAGGGCATTCCTGTAGTGCACCAGGAGCCTGGGACGAAGGTGGTGAGGCAGCCAAATGGGCTGGTCCAGCTGGTTGCACTGTACCTGGCATCCCCCGGGAAGGTACTGTAGTTGCCAGCTGTGCCAATCCCAAAGCCTGTGCTTGAGCTGTTCCTGGCTGTCGGGTACCTACAACTTGCACAGGGATGTGAGGTGGTGGTTGCTGAGTAGCAGACATCTTAGCAGCCCCTAACTGAGGAGGCTTGATAGGTGCTACTGGTGGTTTGGACTGGATGGGGATGGGTGGCTTGGGCGTTGAATCAGGTGGGAGTGACAAGGGCGAAGACTGAAGCATGGGTTGGACAACTAACGTTTGGGCTTGTTGCTGGGACTGGGACGGTGGGACCTGCTGAGTAGGTGGGACCTGTGGTGGCTGAGGGGCAGTGAGGGTTGTAGTTTGTTGTTGTTGCTGCTGCTGCTGTTGCTGCTGCTGAGCCAACTGGAGGTGTGTGGCTGTGTGAAGGAGCTGGGACTGGCGGTGCTGGAACTGCTGCTGGTGGTGGATGGCAATCTGCTGCTGGATTACCACCTGCTTCTGCTGTAGATGAATCTGCTGTTGCTGCTGAATCAATGAGTGGGGCTGGATCTGTGTGTAGGTGGCTATCCGCACATAACCACAATGGAAGAGAGAAGAGCAGAAAATAATAATCACTCTAAAAGTAGAAATCATCTCTCCAAGTTATAAATAGTTTTAGAATCAATCATAGAGTAAATAGAAATCTAGGCTGGAAAGAACTCAAGAAAGATCACCTCATTCATACGCTTCCCCCCTGAATCAGGCATGAGCATCTCTTCTCTTCAAGACCTCAAAGAAACTCCCTCAAGGAGTTGAGACTCCCTTGCTCACCAATTTAACAATACTCAAATATTTCCTACACTTACCTAACCTGTATTATCTTTGGAATACTTAAATGTCAAATCCATTTTATGTGTACTTAGCAAAAGAAAATAGTTTCATGAGGACTGTTTTGAGGAGATTGTTTTTAAAAACTGTGTTCTAGGAGGCAATTCAGTAAGAACTGTGAGAATGAACAGGTATTGCACATAAATTGAAGAATTCAGTGTCTTAAAAAAGAGGACAAGGCAAACTGTAAGGTTGTCTGCAAACAGGTAAGATCAGTCTCTTTCACCTGTCCTCCTGTCTTCTAAGACTAATATGTCCAAAGCTGATATATTTTTCCACTACAAGTCTAAAAGAAACAAGGAAGAAAAGTAAAGAATGCACTCTCAAGATTTCAAACAAGTTCTAAGAGAACAATGAGATTCTGAGAAGGAGCAACCCACCTGAGCTAATAAGGGTCTGGCTGGGAGCAGGAGTCGCTGTGCGTGTCAGGTTCATGCCCACATTTTGCTGACCACTCCCCTCTGCTTCTGCCTTCTTGGCTGCTGCACTTTCTGCCTCTGTTTGGCTGCCCTGGCTCACAGTCACTGTTTGGGCTGCAGGTAAGGGCTGTACCACTCCTGTGCCTTTCCTGGGGCAGCTCCCACCACCACCCATTCCTGAGGAAGGCAAATGACCCAAGCCCCCAGGTGCTTGGCCACCTCCACCTGGACCCATAGACCCTGGGATGCTAGTCCCACTACCTCCTCCAGCTTGGCTAAGGTTGAGGGATTGGCCTGTGGGCCCAGAGGAAGCCTGAGCCACAGCAAGAGCCTGGCTAGAGGCCTGGGAAAGGCTAGAGGTAGGGGAGGCTCCAGGAGGAATGGCCTTCTGAGTTGAGCCTTGCATTTGGGGTCCTTGAGCTGAGGCTTGTTGGTTTCTCACTGCCAAGTTCTGCACCTGAAAAATGTGAAAAACAGACAAATTAGAAAAAAGAGATTGAGAGGCACTAAGATGAATGGTATCTGTAACCAATTCAAGAGTAGCAGAGAAATCCATAACAGTGTCATATTTCACAATCTACCTCAACACATACCACCATCATTATAATACACATTAAAGGCTTTCCAGTCTCCCAAACTCTAAACTCATACCTGATTTTTCAATCTCTTCATGATCAAGTCTATCATTAAATCTGATCACTGGTTCCTTCAAAATGTCTCTTAGAAGCATAGCCACAAAAATTTTTTAGATATAACTAAACACCCCTCAAGACAAAATATTTAGGCTTAGGGTAAAGGATTGCAGACCACAGGGATATCAAACCTGTATCAGTTAAAAGAGTATATTTTATAATGACACAGTTCTGCATCCTACTTTGGTGAGTGGCATCGAGTTCTTAAAAACTTGAATGGCCTCCTAAGATAGCTACTTACTGGTCTTTTCCCATTCAGTGCAAAGGAAAGTGAAAAAACAAACAAACAACAACGAAAAAAAAAACACAAAACCAAAACCCAAAACTAGTAAGGTGGTACATGAACCAATGTCTATACACTGGTCCAGAAGAACGAGATGGTACCCAGTTACCCCTAAAAAACACACATAGACTAGGCACTATAATAGGGAGGGAAAAAAATGTAGAACAGAAAAACAAAATTCACACACACACAAGACTCGACTTGCTGGTACCAACAGAAATTTAAAGAGCCCTTGAGAAACCACCTTCAAAACAATAAACATGCCCATAAAATAAACAGTATAATGCAAGAGTAATGTGTTCTGTACAGCAATCAATTATATGGAATGAAAAGAACAGTAATTGCCCAGGAGCATAGGAAAGGCAAATAAAATCTAGCTACAATTAAGGGGAAGAAACAGGGTAGAAACATAGAGAGCATTAACATACTGTGGCCCAATGCAACTAATATCCTGAAAACTTTATGTACAAACTAACAAATACAGAATGAATTTGCTATGTAAACTTTCATCTAAAGAACATTTTTTTAAAAAAAGATCTTTGATTATCTTTTTTCCTCTCCACTCATTCATGCAACTTCTCAACATTTACCAAACGTCTATGCTTAAGGTACTATGCTGGACAGCAGAATGCAGGAAAGAAAGACAATGAATACATTTTATTAGAGAAGGATAGAAAAATCACTAATCACTATGTAATACTATGTATGCACAGACTCATAGAAGGTTCTATAGCAGAAGACAAAGATTAATTTCGAAGAGGGAGATCAATAAAGACTTCCAAGAACAGACGATGTATTATCTAAGACGCATCAGATAATAGTGAAGGGGAGGGGAATGAAGACATAGGTAACAGAAGAAGACCACAGAGCCAGGAAAGGGCATACCAAGTTTGGAAATTTGTGAACACCTGTTCTTACCTATATTAGAGCTGAGTTTCAAGGAGCAGCAAGAAATAAAGCTAAGATGGTAGGCTGTTTCTAGGGAGAAAGAAAGTAACCATATCATGAACACATCCACAAGTGTTCTAATAAGACAGACTAGTAAGAGAGATGGTGATAAAGAGAGACTAAAATTTAATTTAGAAAAAAAGCTTATCATACTTATTACTATATTCCCAGCACCTAGCATAGTGCCTTGCACACAAAGTATTCCAAATTATGAATACAGGGAAGAAATGATGACCATTTAACTGATTGAAGAAGTCACTGAAGAGCATTAATCAGAATAAACCTGATCAAATCCATAATTGAAATATCTCCTATACATGGGTGATGGAATTAAAAATAAGTAAACTCACTTTGGAGAAAAAAACTGAAATCATATCCAAAAGTTCTTAGACACTTACCACTCTAAAGTCCAGGAGTACACAAGTGACATGCTTGCCCACATACTACTACCGTTAGACTATTCCTAACAGCATTGTTACTGTTTACAAAAACCTAGGTAAAAACTAAATGCCAGTCAACCTAAGGGGAAATAATGATGTGAACAAACTATAACAATATACAGCTATACAGATGGACCTTGATGATAGATAGAGCTCAAGTGATTTCAATTCACAGCAACACTAAAGGACAGAGTAGAACTGCTTCAAAAGCTTTCCAAGGCTATTAAAACTACAGAAATAGATTAACCAGCTTTGTTTTTATGTGCCTTGCCAAAAAATATATATTTATATGCTGTTGTTGTTCTTGTTATGTACCGTCGAGTCGCCTGTGACTCAGTGACCCTATGTACAACAGCCCTAAACCCTGCTCTGACCTGTGACAATCTCACTGTCACTAACACACTTACCCCATTACCTCAGTCACTGAGTCAATCTACCTCAGAGGGTCTTCCTCTCCTGCACTGTCCCTCCACCCTCCCAAGCATAACGTCCTTCCCAAGGACTGGTCCCTCCTTGCAACATATCCAAAGTTCATCAGACGAAAACTTCAGAATCTGCCTCCAAGGAGCAAACTGGTTTAACTCTCTTCAGGCTGAACCTGTTTGTTTTCTTAGCAGTCCATGGTATATACAATACTCTTCTCCAGCACCACAGCTCAAAGGCATCAATTCTCCTTCTATCCTCCCTAGTCATTGTCCAGCTCTCTGATGCATAGCAAGTGACTGCAAAGACCATGGCCTATATCATGCGCACCTTTGTCTCCAGAGTAACACAACTGCTCTTCAGTACTTTAGAGAGGTCTCTAACAGCATATAAAATTTTATGTTCCACTCTCCCTCAAGTCTCATCTATGAGAAACCGCCAGACTGATTTTTTTTAAATGTATATAAACCATTTTTTACGTAGTTTTAAAATGTTGTTGGGTACCATCGACTCAGAACCAACCTACAGCTGATCTTCCATTGGGTTTCAGAGGCAGTTAAGTGCACAGGAGACTGTCCATCATTCTCCTGCACAGCAGCTAGTAGATCTGAACAGTGTGTCTTCAGGATTGCAGCAAAGCTTGTTATCACTTGGCCACCAGAGCTCCCTTTTTTATATTAGTGGTCCTATATCATAATTATCCTTATCTGAAATCATACAGCAAAATCCGTTCTAACTGCATCCATTCTGGAAGACTCTTTACATATTAAAAAAAACAAAAAACTTCCAAAAATGATTACAAACAGGTAAGAATCTTTTAAATGCTGACTGATAGTTGTGGAATTTGCTTCAAAATAATACACTAGTGGAGGAAAAAGGGTATTGGACACATGGATTGGATGACAAGTGCACATCATGTTAAGATTAGGTGGCATCAGTCGACTTATGACTCATAGCAACTCTATGAAAAATGCTTAGTAACCTTGCCCTAGGTGACTTGTATATGCCATCAAGTCTGAACCAACTCATAGCTGACTCTCCACTGGATTTTTCAAAGACAGTTAATTGCTTGAGAAGAGAATGTTCATCTTTCTCCCATAGAGCAGCTGGTGGATTCTAACTCCTAGTTTTGGCAGTGTATCACCTTATCATTTGACTACCAGAACTCTCTTTATCCTGCATGTTATAATATCAGGTGTCCTCAATTTGAGTACAGCTCATAGCAACCCTATAAACACCATATCCCTGTCCTATCCTGTGCCATTCTCACAATCTGACACACTTGAGCCCACTGTCACAGTCACTTTGTCAATTCATCTCACTGAGGGTCTTCCTCTCTTTCATGGACCCTTTCCTCGCATGCTGCCCCTCCCCAAAGAACAACGTCTTCTAACAACATGCCCAATCCTACCCTGCATTGCTGTTGTGTGCTATTAAGTTAGAAGGGACCCATATCTGATTTTCAGAGGAAGTTAACCACCAGGAGGAGACTGCCCATCCTTCTGCAGAGTAGCTGGTCAATCTGAACTGTGTGCCTTTGAGATGGCAGTGCAGTTTCTTACCTCTAGGCCACAAGAGTTCCCATATTTTCCTATTTTTGTTTATGTCTTAGGTATAATAATAAAAAATACTTTTTGCAAAGAGACAAAAAAGAATGAACCCAAGAATAAGAATGATAATTACCACAAGTAGGGGCAGGCAGAGGACAGAATTGGGGAATGCCTATTAGATTAACAAGTTACTGGATAGGCGTCCTCCGTAATTCCTTTCCAGGAACTATCCCTTTCTTTGGGGTGTAACTTTCTAATGAATATATCTTTTTACCTCAAAAAAACAAAACATAAAACCAGTTACTAGATAAACAAGTAAACTCACTCACTCAACTGCCACTGAGTCCGTTCTGACTTATGGGGACCCTTTATCAGATTTCTAAGCCTATAAATTACAATGAGAAGAGACTGCCCATTTTTCTCCCACAGAGCCACTGAAAAGTGGTATTTTGGTTTTAGCGAAATGAGCAAGCACTTAACGACTTCTCTTTTCTCTCCCTCTTAACTAAGATCATCCCTTTTGGTTCTAGATCCCACCCTCGTAGCCTTCTCAAAATCTACAAATACCAATCCTCTTCCATCTATTCAACCTTTCCACTACTGGCTGATTCCCATCCACGTTACAAGTCCTAACCCCCAGCTGTATCCTCCTCCTTCACTATTGCTAAATTCTTAGTAACTACTTCTGGCTGCTATTTCCCAGATTCCTCTGCGAGCCTTCCACTCACCCATGAATTGCACTATTTCTAAAGATTCATTCTAAATTCTCCAAGTTCAAAGACTCATTTATTCCCTATCCACATTCTTTTGGCTTCAACTGTCATCTCCATGCCTCTCAAACATTTATCTCCAACAAGACCTTTCACTTAGCTTAAGCAATAGATATAGATAGATAGACAAGAGACAGATGATAAGATAGCTGACTCAACACATTCTTGTAAATGATTCACATGCACTTCTAAGGTGACAAGTCCGAAATTGAATTTCATCCTAAATCTGCTTCTCACTGTTCTTCATCTCATAAACTGGACCCCACTTACTGCTCATGTCAGTTCTCAGGTCTGGCATCTACTTCAACTCCCACCTGCTAAATCAGTTCCACTTCTTCAACTGATTTATCT